GTGTGGCCTTGTGTGGGCGGCGAAACGTTTGGGAAGGTACCACATGCACGGTTCAACTTTGGAAATGATCATACAGACAATAGACTCCAGACTAGGCGCGTTCCTCTCAATCTTTCTACCAACATGACCATGTTGCGAAAACAACGTCAAACAACCTCTCTACAACGAAAGGAGACTGCGACCACACAAAAGACTACACCATCTTGGTCTTCATACCTTAGATTTTTCGTGTTCTTTTTCTTTTTCTTCATCATCATCTTCTTTTGCGTCCACCTGAACAGAACTGGAATTAGCCGTCGTCTTCTGCTGAGATCGACATACCAATCTCTTCGTCTTGCTTATCATATAAAACGAAAGTATCAGCATAAATTCTATCTCAAGAGATTCATATAGTCCCAGCAACTATACGTACATATATTAAATAGGTATATCCCTCTCTCGATCTTCGAGTGAGTCATATCACTCTACTTTTTCATGTGATTAGTATGAAATACCCGATTCGGGGACTCCAGCAACCTGGACGAAATATTAAATCCAGTTTTCATTTATAAGTAGGGTTTCGAGGCAACCAACAGGTCAGTTATATGATATGTATTCACCCTATTTCATTTACGATTACGAGGGATTGGAAATTGAATTTTTCTCCAAATGATGTGTGTAGAGCTGACGTTTCCATTCAATTTCACATAGCCTTGCTTTGCCAAATGGGGTCCTCATCTCGGCTGAAATGGACTGCAGTTTCGACCCCGCCTAGGTTCTATTAACACCCCAGCGGAAGTCGAACTATGAAAGTGCAGAATGTACTCTCGACACGTTAACTATACGCCACATTGGCATGACTGCCCTCGGATCATTGAGCAGATGTGAATTTCAAGGAAGTCCAGGCATTTTTCTTTGATGGGATTGTCGATGAAGTAATCGAACTATGACATTCGACTGCATTACTTATTGTTCGTTTATAAGTAGGATTTCACATCGAACTGACTTACTGTTAGTCTCAAAGCCTTTTTATGGAAAGTAAGCTTGTGTTAAATTGGTGGAAACGTCACTTCTACTCATATCATTGTGGGAAAAATTCACCTACCAGCCCTTCATCACCTTAAACAAAATAGTGTGAATAGATCTGATATATCAAAACCAAACGGATGCGGAGCAATGGGGATGAGCTGTCGTGTTCTGGTGAAATCGAGCCACAAGATAGATTATTATCCCTTTTGATGCCAAATGACAATCTCCACAGGAGTTTTAGCTCAAGAGATTTATCTTCCAATACATAGTTAACTTTTAACTGTGCAACATGGAGATGTGAACCGGAGCTGCGCAGCGGAATCGTGACACGAATGTGTCTTCTTAACCAATTCCAGGTTCACCTCGAGGCTCCTTTCAGCAAAGAGATTCTGGGTCGTTCAGTAAAGCTTCTGAGTTGAGTGGGATTAGGGCCAAGGCTTTGAATCGTATCCTCAGGATAGTCGACCGATCATATACACAAACTGAGCCTGTGAACTGAACGTGAAACTGCAGCATAATTGGGCCGTTTTTCTACTGGATACGATAGCTGGCAAGGGGTTTGCTGTTCTCTTAAGCCGTACACTTAATCTCAATCATTCATGTTGTTCGGCGTCTGTAACGAGGAGAAGTGTATCGAATTTGTAACATTTGATAGCGCCTCCACATTTTTTTGAGATTGTTAGTAGAGTACAACCCCAAATTTGATGGACACTCGTGTGGGATTTTGACTATTGACCTAACAAAAGTAATAATGAAGTAATAATTATGCCTTTGAGGAGCTATTGTCAAATTTCGTCCTGGAGAATGTATGAGTTTCCTCAAAAACTCATAGTTTGCAACTTGTCGGTCGTCAATCGGTATGTTCAAATGGATTAGAAAATATAAAAAGAAAGGTCCAGGTTGTAGGAATAAATTGGGGCAGTTTTGTTGTGCCTACTGTCATTTCTGGAGGAAACATGCGATGAAAAGTTTCGCAAACGATGAGGGCGGATTTCTCTTTCCCAGCTGACGTTGGCTCTATAAGAGAATTCCAATTGCTGCTGTGCCAGACAGGTCCAAGTTTCCCTGAATTATATGGAAAATGTGCATTTCAAGGAAGGCAGAAGTTCTTCCAGGTCACGCTTATTGTAGGAGCTTCGATGATGCTAACTCTGCTTTTGCCATTACATTCGACTATATTACCTTTTTCATAGAAATAAGCTTTAGAGCTTATCAGTAATTCGTGAATAAGTGTTCCAGTCACCCTGGGTCCCATAATATGATGAAGGAGTAGGGAGAAAGTGAAATTTTTCCCCCTTATGATGACATTGAATTGCACTTCCACTTGCATTCCAAAAGGTTGTCCAATGCCGTAGGGGCCGGACTTCAATTGCTACCTCGCCGCATTACAACTCCTCAGCCCCAGTAACAGAACTCGAAATATGGTAATGCGTGTAAGGGGTTAACGCATCACCAGTTTGCCACAACTGGTCATCACTAGGCACAGTTGACTTTCAAGGTAAACCAGGCTTAGTCAAAGCTAATTTTTTATGGTGGGATTATCTACTCGGTAAACATAGATTTTCCATCACTATCGGTGCCGCTACTTAATTACATATAAGTAGATACGAAGAGAAACTTGGTTTCGATGACTCTCCTGAGATAACATTGTTAGGGGGAACTTCATTTCG